GGAGGGGAAGACCCTCTATGAGGTGGATTGATTCAGTGACTGGGGTAATCGGGATGGGTGTGTCAGGGGCAGTGAGATTGGCACAGGATAGAGCAGGGTTTAGGGCTGTTGTGCATAGGGTCGCTATGAGTTGCAAACGACTCGACGGCACATTAGAACAACAATATTGCAAAAGTACCGATTGTGGTGGGCAGGCACTGAATCTGCTTTGGAGAAGTTGGGGGTACCAGTACTGGGCAGAGTAGGGAGGAGAGCTCCCTTAGACCAGGCCAATGATACCCCAGGTCGCCCCTCTGGGTTCCAGGTGCTGACCGGTGGCCCCTGAACTTGCCATGGCCCAGCAGAGAGCCCTGCCTCAGAGCAAGGAGACGCTGCTACAGTCCTACAACAAGCGGCTCAAAGACGATGTCAAGTCCATCATGGACAACTTCACCGAGATCATCAAGACCGCCAAGGTGGGCGGGGCTCCTGTAGTGAAAGGGGCGGTCTGAGAGGGAGCTGACCCCTGAGCTCTGTTGGGGTGTGGGGGGTCATCTGACTTTGGCGAGCCCCGAGTGGCAGTGCCCTGCTCTGCAGGCTCTTCCTGGCTGTAGGGATTTCGCCCTGATAATGCAGTTGTTTAAGCGTTGGACCTCTACCTAACAAGTTTGGTCCTCGGGACCCACACCAGCTCATCCTTGGAAGAAAGGGCAGTTGGCAGTTTGGGAAAAGCAGACTTCCCAAACCAGAGCCACTGCTGTGGGACCCAGTGCACCCGGAGTGTGTCCAGCCATGGTCAGCAGCCCTGGAGGCCCATGGAGAAGTCTGCCTGGCCTGTCCTCCGGGGTCGCTGGCCGGACCGGCCTAGACGGCAATGGCTATGGGAGCACGTGGTCACGTCTCACTGGGGGCGGTTGATGTGAGGTTAACTGTCCCTTTTGCTAGCCGCTCGTGCATCCGCTGCTGATGGTGGGCAGGCCACGTGACTGTTCCCCCTGACTCGGGACACACCACACAGGACAGGCAGGGTGAGGTGGCGGGGGGATCCTTGTCCGCTGGACACACTTAGATGAGGTGTCGGGGAGGCCCCACTCCCAGAGGAGACACTCGGTGTTGCCTGTCCTCTGGGGAAGCCCTGTTCCCTGAGGACACTCTGGTAGGTGGTAGGGCTCATCATCAGACAGGCTAACAGACATCAGTAAACCAGGTACCAAGTAGCTGGGTGCTACACCCGTGGTCCCACCTGCTGTGCTCACAGGGTCTGTAGCGGCAGGTGCGGGGTCAGGTACAGGACAGCCGGGCCCTCCACGTGCTCCCAGACCGCCCAGAGGGTCTGCCCCCACACCCTGCTCCCAGTCAGCACCGCAGTGTCCGTCCGGCCTCTTGGGGCTGGAAGACAGTCGTGGTGGTGCTGAGGATCTGGTCCGCGGAGCATGTGGCTGAAGGTGCGGACAGGCAGGGTAGTGGCCCGGGAGCCCTGGCCGAGCCCCAGGCTGTCCTGAGGCTTTCTCACTTGCCCTGCAGGTTGAAGACGAGACGCAGGTGTCCCGGGCCACACAGGGGGAGCAGGACAACTACGAGATGCACGTGCGGGCCGCCAACATCGTGAGTCCTCGGGATGGGGTGTCCTTGGAGGGACACCGCTGTCCTCCCTGTGTCCTGCGTCCAGACACCCCCCCAGGCCTTGGTTTCACCTTCAGAGCTTCAGGGAGTGGAGTGGGGAGCACCCCTCAGAGGGCGAGGGATGGGGGACTGTCCACATGGTAGTGACTTTTCTGATCCTCACAGGCAGCCCTGTGTTAGTGACCCAGGGGTGTGTCCTTGCGCGGCCCCGGAGGCCCCGCCCACGTCGGAGGCCCCGCCCAGGAGGCCCCGCCCACGTGGAGTGTCTGGGGTGGGGACCCTCCTTGCTGGGCTCCTGCTGACGCCAACTGTCCTTGGCCTGTGCTGTCATCCCGGTAGTCTCTGCTCCCCCTTCACGTGCTGCCTTCCTTCCAGCTCTCTCCTTACACTGCTCGTAAGGTTAGGGGTCGGGGTCTTGGAGAGCACCCAGCAGGACCCTCTTTCCAAACCAGGTTCTGTCCCAGGTGCTGTGACCTGTTAGGGGCACCATTCACCCTGATGATGCTGTGAAGCCAAGTTCAAGACACTGAGGCACCGAGAGGGCACACTGCTGCCCACTCAGGCCACGGGAAGGCAGGGCCGCAGTCCCCTGCCCAGCCCTCACCTCTTGTCCACTCTGGTCCTCACGTGCAGGTCCGAGCTGGCGAGTCCCTTATGAAGCTCGTGTCCGACCTCAAGCAGTTCCTAATCCTCAATGACTTCCCGTCGGTGAACGAGGGCATCTGTCAGCGCAACCAGCAGCTGCGGGCGCTGCAGGAGGAATGTGACCGGAAGCTGACCACACTGCGTGACGAGGTGTCCATCGACCTGTACGAGCTGGAGGAGGAGTACTACTCGTCCAGGTACAAATAGGGCGGACACTGCGTCTGGGGCCCGTCTGCCCAGAGCCCCCTGCTTCTCCAGATGGACAGTTGATGACCGTCCACCAGGGCCCAGGGCAGTCCTGCCATTCGCCGTGAGGAGCACCACGGGGCCAGGGTCTCGATGGGGCCTGAGCCAGGACCAGGGGGCTCTGCCTGCGCTCCCCACTGGGTGCGTGGGTGGTCTGGGTCTGGGACCTCTACCTGGCAAGGCTGGGCCTGGGCCATTCCTGTCCCCTCTGTCATCTGTATCTGAATATTGATGTCCAGGCCATGGCCAGTCCCAGGAGGGGGTGGGCACCAAGCCCTCTGGGTTCTGTCCGGTTCAGGTGGGCTACTGGAGCACAGCCATGTGCCTGGCCCATGGTGGCACTTAGGATGAAGCAGTGGGCACAACCTAGTTCCAGTCCTCCTGTGACCATGTAGAGCTGATACCTGAGCAGGAGTCTCCTTTACACAGACTCATGGGCAGCGCCGTCACCCCACACCGCTGGCCAGCCCCTAGCTCCTTCACCCCACTCTGCTGGCCAGCCCCTAGCCCCACCCCACTGCCATCACCTTCTCCCCACCCCGCTGGCCAGCGCCTTCACCTCACCCCGCTGGCCAGCACCTTCTCCCCACCCCACTGGCCAGTCCCTTCACCCCACCGGCCAGCCCGCAGACACAAAGCCCCTCCTGGTTGTGACCTCTCGGGTGGTTTGAGGTGCCCCTCACCCCACATCTCTGTCAAGAGGTCATGCTAACAGCACAGACCAAGGGAGGCTGGTAACCGCTCTGGACTCTTGGAGAAGAGACAAAGTACGATGCCCAATTAGAATGGTTCTAGAATGCTCTGGAGGAACCTTTGGCCCCTGATATCTGGCAGACGTGTGAGTGCCTGCCACACACCAGAGTGATAGAGGCTGAGGGGCAACCACCTGTTCTAGACCCTTTGGGAACATGGCCCCCACCCCTATTTGCAGATTCCTCTCATGTTTTCATCTTTGTCCAGTTTCTTGAACCATCCACCCCCCAACGGCTGGACCTGGGACTCTGCCTGGAGAGTGGGGATCAGAGTGGGGAAGGGGCCTGCCTGGGGTCACTCAGCAGAGTGGGGACAGAAGCCAGGATCCTGAACTTCAGGCTTCCCATGGTCTCACCACCCCCGTCCACCCAAAGGGATTCTGTGGTCCACCCAAAGGCTCGCTTGGTGTCCCTCCCAAACGCTTGTCCTCGTCCTGGCCTCCCATCCACCCCAGCAGCATGGGGTCTGAAGAGAAACCCCTGGGGAGCTCCTGGCACAGAACACCTCGGTGTCCTGTCTGCCCACCCTCTCGAGGGTTGGGACTCAGTGGAGCCCAGCTGCCTTTAAGTCAGCTCTTTGGAACTCTCTGCCATCCCCCAAGCAAAGGCCGCTGGCCACGGTGGACATACCCCTCTTTCCCGCATGAGCTGCCCACTGCCCTCACGCCTGGCCTCTGCGTACTCACGGCTTCTGCTCGGTGTTGCTCTCTCTGACTCAGCCTCTCCCTCCAACTTCCTTGGGATCCAGGTGGTGGAGGGTGGGAGGGGATGGAGGAGTGTGCCCTTTCAGGGCAGGGTACCCTGTGGACCCCAGCGAGGGTGCCTACAGTACAGGGTACCCCTGTGGATGCCAGCAAGTGCCCCCTCAGAACAGTTTGCCCCTGTGGACCAGCTCTTCACTGCAGCCCGGGGAAGCTGGTGCTGTTAGTGACGGAGAAACAGGCTCAGGGACAGAGGGGCCTGCTCCAGGCTATACGGTGGGAGCCGTGGTGACGAGGAAGTCTCGGGGCCTGTGTCCGTACTGTTACCCTGCTCAGGCTGAGTCCCCAAACTAGGCAGGGTCTCCCCCACCTTGGAGTGCCTCCAAAGCCTGCTGGAGATGCTGGGTTGCAGCTAGTGGGGGCCAGGGTGGGGGACCTGCAGAGGTGAGAACAGGCACGTGGCAGGAAGTGTTGTGAGAGCGGCCTGGCCGGGGCCCTGCAGAGTCACAGAGGCCGATGGAAAGGGGCGTCCCTGTCCAGGGTGCACTAGTGCCCACAGGCCCCTCCATGGCCGGGCGGCTTGAAGGGCTGGCCCGGAGCGGAGGACGGGAGAGGCTGGCTGGGTGTGGGTCTCTGTTCTCTTACCTCTGCTCTGTCTCGCTCTCTCCCTGCCCTGCTGCTCTGTCTGCTTCTATCTCCCGGGGCTTCTGGAAAAGCTCGAGTCCTTGTGAAGCTAATGACCTCCCTCTGTGTGAAGCTTACTGGAGGCTGGACTGCGACTCCGACCCCACCGACGGCCTCTCGGCCCCCCTGCTGGTGTCCCCAGAGCCCAGCACGGGCTCCCTGCAGGCTGTGGCCCCTGTCCACCCCCATGCTGGTGGGCCTGGCCCCACGGAGCACGCCTGAGCCTGCAAGGCACCCAGATGAGCCCCAAGTGCTCAGAAGCAAACCCCTCCTGGGTGCTGGCCGGCCTTGTTGTTCATGGCAGACTCCCAGGACCCACGGCTGCCATGTCCCCTTAGCCATCTGGTCAGTCTGGGGCCCGGGTCAGGCCACCCAGGACTGCTGGGTTTTCTCAGTGCTGTACCCGGCCTCCCAGAGCTGGGAACACTGTTGGGGACGTTTGTCCCTAACACCTTCCACAGAGGAGTGGACGATGACCTGGCCCATGCACATTTAAAAGGGCATGCGGTCCTCAGAGGTGACACCGGCAGCCAAGTCCAGCGCCCACATCCAGGCCAGGGCTGCTGTGCGCCCGCCCCCTAAGCCATAGTGCGTCACCCTGGTCCTTTCCAGTTTGCACTGTCTGTACAATCTGGTTTTTGTAATGAGACTTGAATAAAGATTTCACCACCCACTCGTATCGAGTCCTGGTCTTTCCACATCTTCAGGCAGTCAGGGCTCCTTGGGTCTCCCCAGGACAGCTGCCGGCCCCTTAGGCAGACTCACAGCTAGATCACTTGGTCCTTGAAGCCATCCCTCAGTTCGAAGCCACCAGCAGCTCTGGGGCTTCCTAAATGGAAAATACCCCTCCTGGCTCAGTTAGAACCTCTCCTGATCCTGCCTTGAGTTGAAACTAAATCACATGGAATGAGGGGCCCATTTTCCTCCCGTGGAAATGCTGCTGGATTCACACTGCCGGACGGCAAATTCTCTGGGACCTGTGGCACCTGAGCCACAGACGCTTTAAATTCTTCTCAACACATAAGTATGCTTGATAGTTCTAACAGCCCTTGGGAAGCTGTCCCCCAGCACCCCAATGCTATTTTCTTTCTTTTTTTTTTAATAAAATTTCAATTGTGATTTTAACAAAAGTTTACAGAGAAGTTGAATTTTCATTCATTCATTGTTGCACATATTACCCTTGCTCCCTCCCCCCAGTTAACTTTTTTTTAATTCCATTCATTCATTGTTGCACCCTTCTCCCCGCACAAACCCCCCCCC